ACTCAGGAGTCCGGGACTGTGGCAGCACAAGTAAGGAGCTGCATGGCTGTGCTGAAGCATGGGGGGCCAGCTGTCCCCCCTGCAGGCATCCCCCAGCTGCCTTCAGCTTCGTTATGCCACCACTAACGAAGTGATGCTGAGCAGGCATGAGCAGTCAGGAAGGTGCCCAGCCGGTGGCTGCCACTGCCAGGCGAGGCCGAGGGAGCTACAGAGCCAACACGAGAAGCTGGGGGATCTCAAGGACTCGAGGGGCTTGGCAGGGTCTGCTCCGGGCGCAGGGCCGGGAGAGAGCAGCTCCCTCCTGACCGCTCAAAAACAAACCCGGCTTAACCGAGCCTGCCTGCGCTCTGGCCCCGGCGCGGCTGCAGCCAAGAGGGACGCGCTCCTGTGGCGCTCGGGAGAAGAGCGTTGGGGATCTGTGCCGGGGCCGCAGCGGGGCCGGGAGCTGCGGTGGGCGGGCGGGCGGCTCCTCGGGGACGGGCTCGGCTGCCGCAGCCGCTGCCATTGGGCTGCGTGGGCTGCAGGGGCTGCGCCGGGATGCAGGCACGCCGTGCTGGGATGCCGGAGGGATGCAGGATGCGGGAGGGATGTAGGATGCTGGCACACTGTGCTGGGATGCAGGAGGGATGCAGGCTGTGGATGCAGCATGCAGGCATTCACTGCTGGGATGCAGGCAGGATGTGATATGTAAGCACACCGTGCCAGGATGCAGGATACAGGCATGCTGTGCCAGGATGCAGGAGGGATGCAGGATGCAGGCATGCTGTGCCAGGATGCAGGAGGAATGCAGGATGCAGGCATGCTGTGCCAGGATGCGGGCGGGATGCGTGCCAGGACATGAGCACACTGTGTAAGGCCATGCTCCCACTGAGCCCAGGGCAGCCAGGAAGGAACCTGGAGATCTCTCAGACCCCTTCTAGGGGAAAGAGCAGCTGGTGACCTGTAGTGTAAAGATGGCATCTCACCAGCCTAAAGAAAGATAGGATAAATTTAAACCCCAGCCCCAGTTCTGTAGGGAAGTGTCATCATTTTCCGTGATATTGGAAACTGCTGACAGTGTTGCAGGAGCAGGAGCACAGCTCCCAGGGAGTCATGCCAGATACCCCTGGCATGGGGATAGGGACAGGAAGGGTTGGGGGTGCCTGGGGGTGAGGCCCCCTTTCCCCCAGAGTTCCTGCATCCCTGTGCACACAGTCACGTGTGGGCTGCGGTCAGAGCTGGGCTGTTTTCCTCTTCTTGACTTGTCCCTTGCAAAAGATCCTTGGGGGTGGCTTCAGGGTTTTCAGAGTGTTTCGTTTTTCAGGCCTGCATTTCCCCAGCATTTCCTGAGATCTTGGGACCCCCAGAAGTTTGGGGAGAGCAGCCAAGCTGAGAAGTCAGGGGCACAGGGCTGGCGTGAGATGGTTTGGGGATCAGCAGCAGGTCAGGGTGTAAACTCTGGGGTCTGGCTGCTGTGCCCACACCGCTGCCCGTGCCACACGCCCTTCTGGCTCACAAGCTTCTGCAACAGGAAGTACCTCATGCGCGTGCCCAAAAAAACCTCATTTCTTTCTTTTTTCTCTTCTCCTGCGGCAGGGGTGAGGCAGCGAGTGGCTCCGGGGAGCCCAGGGTGGCTCCATGTATCCCGAATCCACCACTGACTCCCCAGCGCGACTCTCGCTGCGGCAGACGGGCTCCCCAGGGATGATTTACAGGTAAGGGTGCGGGATGGTGGTGGTGGGGCTCGGTGGGGCTTCAAACACAGGCCCATGGCATCCCAGAACCACTACACTCCATGAAATTGCCCTGACACTCCAAAACCACGCCAGCACTCTTCGTGCAAAAGCTTCCAGGACAAAACCCCCACATGGCAGCAGCAACAGTGTTTTGGGGTGCTGGTGCCTGTTATGGGCATAGTGGGCACTCCTGGGGTTGTGCCAATGCCCACTGCACTGTGCCTGCCGTGATGTGACATGGGTGGGTGTCACTGACCCTTCCCATGGCCGTTGGCTCTGCCGCTCAGTCCTGCTCCTTCTTTCTAATGGGGTTTGTGGCATCTTTCTTCTCTCTCCCCTTTGCTGTCGGAAGCGCGAGATACGGGAGCCCCAAGCGCCAGCTCCAGTTCTACAGGTAACCCAGCCCTTCCCCCTCCCCAAAATCTGCAAGTGGCCACAGCCCCTGGCCATGCCTGGGTGCTGCTGGCACAGTGCTGCCCTGCCTGCAGTGCAGGGGTCCCTCTGTGTGGGATGGGCACCACCGATGTGGCATCACCTCGTCACCTGCGGGTTTGGGAGCGCGGCGTGGGGACCCCGTGGTGCGGTTCGGTGGAGGGCACCATCCTCGTGGGCTGCCCAAGCAACAGAGTGTGGCCGGAGCATGGGTGGGGAGGGGTGTGGGGGGCATCCTGCACCAATGCTGTGCCTGGAGGAGCCCGCTGTCTTTTCCCAAGGGCAACTCCAGGAACCCAGCCAGCTGCTTTGCTGCTCCTGCCATTAGGACCAGCGTCATTAAGTGGTTTGGGAGGCAACACTTGCCCCTGCCACCCTTTTACCGTCTGAAGTGAGGGCAGCTCTTTGCCCATGCACTGTGCCAGCAGTCACTCCGGTGCTCCTAAAGCCACAGCAGCCCTGGTAGTGTAGGACTGGGTCCAGCCTGGCCACCATGGGCAGGGGCCTGCCCCTGAGGGAGCCGTGGCCCCCCTGCTCCATCCTGCACATGGCAGGGGGAGGTGAGGCTGGGGGGCACCGGGATGGCTCAGTGGCACTGTGAGCGATCTGTCCCAGCACTGCTGAGCCCCAACCACAGGCAGGTTTTGGCTGCCAAACTGGCCTGAACCACTGGACACATCTGGTGCAAAAGGCTCCTGAGGCTGCCTGGCAGGACCCAGCTTGTCCATAGGCTGCCTTCGGGGAGCCTCTGCCAGTGTCCACCACCCAGTTCCGTTTCAGGGCTCCTGCCCGGAGGAGGCCGCCTTTGAGTCCTGCCACTGCCCAGCTCTGGCCCTGCTGCCGCAGGGACCACAGGAGGGGTGTGTCTGACACAGGGACTGTCTCTGCTCCCTGATGGCCCCAGTGTCCAGCTGTCCTCACCGCCCCGTGTGCCGGTGGTGCAGAACCTGTCACCGCAGGGTGAGGGGCGGCTGCGAGCAGGGGCGGCAGTGCCAGTGTTGCAGCAGCACATCCCAGGCTTTTAGCGAGGCACCATGAATAATTTAGCTCCCCTATGCAAGGAAGAAAATCCCCTAATAGGGCTAATGGAGCGCGGTGAGAAGCCGGGCACTGGGGACCCGGCGTGGCAGCCAAGTGCGTCGACACTCCCCTAATGCAAAACAACGCGACGGCCGCGGCTCTTATATCTGCCCCGGGGCAGCCTCGCCACCCAGAGCTGCGCTGCTGCTGAGCAGCTTCCCTGGCGCGGTGAGTCGGGGCTGGCGGCGCGGGCGGCGAGTGCGGATGGGCATGGCAGGCGGGAATGGGCACTGCCACCACGGGGCAGCCGCTGCAGGCAGCAGGGAAGATTTTCCATGCAGGGCTACTTGGGATTTGATGGCTTAGAGTCGTTTGCTTTTGGGGTTTGGGATCTTTCTGGCTTTAGGCAGGCCGGTGGCTGCCAACAAGTTCCCAGCTTGGCAAGCCAGGCTGGCCAGACGCCTCTCTGGGCAGCTGCCCTGCCCGTCACCCACTTGTTGTGCCCCCGATGCTGCTAAAGGTGCCGTTGTCCTGCAGAGCCTGTGCCCTGTCCTCATCCCTGCTCCTTCCCCACCAAACAGCCTCTCCTGCTCGGGCAGGGCGCGGCTTGTCCTCGGTAGCTCCTGCAGCCCTGCTGCCGCTCGGCCCGGGAGCACCGGGATTTCTGCTCGTGACCGGCTCCACCACTGCTGTGCTCTCACTGCCGTTCTGTACTCTTGCTCTGCTGAAAATCAGGGAGGTGTCGAGATGGGGCAGCCGGTGGATTCGTGCCCCATTCCTCAGAGCAGCCCTGCCCAACCCCCTGGCTCCGCTTGCTGCATCCATTTTGCTGCTGTAGAGCAGTGGTACAGTCAGCTCAGGCTTTTCCTTGCCACTGTCAGGTGAGGGGATCCCACCAAGCCAAGGGATCCCACTGAGATCAAGGGGATCCCACCAGGTGCCAACACCCAGCAGGAGCCACTGGTACTGCCCTAGTTAAAAACTACCAGCCATGGAGAAGGGCTGGTGCCAGCGGTGCCAGCTTGTCTCCAACTGTGAGGTGTGGCAGGAAGAAGCTAGTAACCAGGGTTTGGTTTGGCTTTGCCACAGCAGAGGGAAATATCCCTTTTCCATGTCTCCCTGCATTCCCAAAGCCTTGCTACAGAGCAGGAGGAGCACAGAGTGCTCTCTGGCAGCACCTGGGTGTCACAGGAGACCCCCAGGGTTTCAGTCACCCCATCCAGCTGCTGCTCCATATCCTCCGTGTTTGGAGCCTTTGGAGGTGACAGCAGCAGGGAGCACTTCGTCTTTGGCTCCTGCTGCCATCAATGTGAGCTTCCCAGGGAAAGAAAAAACCACGGGTGGGAGCCTGGATGGAGCCTGATGCCAGTGCATTCCCAGTGGCTGCTTCCATACCCGTACCACAGTTTTGGCCCCAGTCTCTGCTCCCTTCAGACACTGAGAACAAGAGACCCGGCGGAGAGTGGCATGGAAATTGATGCCAGTGCCCTGCCAGTGAGGTCCCAGCCGTAGAGGCGGCAAGGACTCCGGTGGGTGAGACGCTCACCCTGCAGCAGGCTGTTTTCAGCAGCTGCACCAGCTGGGAGGTCACTGCCATGGTGGAGGGGAAGGTGTTGGCTGGAAATGCACATTGTGCCCACAGCCCCTCTGCAGGTGCCCACCCTTCCTGGGGAGCCCCACAGGAACTTTCCCATCGTGACTTCTCCTGCCCACTGGTACACAGTGCCAGATTGTCACTGGCAGCACTTTTGCCACTACCTGCCACATCTTGGCCAGCTCCCCACATCCCTCACAGGGGTGCAAACCAGTCCAAGCTGGGGGCCAGCACAAATAGGGCATGGGCCATGCTGCTGCAACCTGGCTTGGGGCAGCTGTGGTAGGCACTGCTGCCTCCTCAGCCATGGGCTGTGCCTTATTTCTGTCCTGCTCCTTCTCCCTTTGTGCTTCAGCTCCCACGTCAAGGCTGTGCTCTGCTGAAAAGACTGGCTTTGCTAGGGTCCCCACTCTCCCCTCCCTGTGCTGCATGTCCTGGCAAGGGCAGGTGCCACCACTCCAGCATGGCAGCATGGGCAGAACTCTGCCATGAGTGGCGGCGGAGCCCATGTTGTGCTTTCCCAGCTCTCTCCGTAGCACCACGGAGTGGTTGGTGGCGTGGCTGGCCAGCAGAGCCCGTGCTTGGGTGGCGGGATGCTCTCCATGACCTACAGTGAGAGCCTGCGCAGCGTGGCCAGCCGGCCCGCTCCCGAGTGGGGGCTGCCCCCGGCCCCCCGGGCGGCCGATGGGCTGGAGCTGCGGCGGCTGCGGGACGTGCGGGCGGCAGCGCGGGCGAAGACACTGGAGGAGTTCCTGCGGATGCACGGGCTCTCCCTGGCTGACAGCACTGCCCACGCCACCGGCATGAAGTACAGGTAAGGCAGCGCCGCGAGGGCCAAGGTGTGGAGACGGCACAGGGGATGCTGTGTGGTGATGGTTTGACACCTCATCGGGAGAATGGCTCTCACCTGTGCTCACCTTGGCTTCCCTGTGCCTCGCCAAGCCTGGGAGGAGTCGATGCTCTTGTCACGGTGGGTGATCTGGTGCTGCATGTGCTATAGAGGTGGCAGCCAGTCAGCGCTGTTAGCGCTCACCTGCTTTGTGATCTTTGAGCTTCTCACCTGACATTCCCATTTGCTGTTTGGGTGGTTGCGTCTGCAAACAGCTCTGGGCTTTAGAGAAAGACAGCTGGAGCAAACAGCCGCTGAAGGGCTGTCTGCTTCACAGGTGTACATCTGATGGGGGTACATCTCCACCTGAGGGGTGTACATTTGCGATCTCATGAGTGTACATCTCCATGTGAGGGGTGTGCATCTCCGCCCGACTGACAGCTGTGTGTCATGTAGTGGGTGCGCCGTGAATTTTGCGTGTGGGTCCCAGTGCAAGGTGTATCAGGATTTCAGCCGGTATTTGTCTTTCTTTCGGAATTTGTCCTTATTTGCTCTTCTCTGGGCAGCCGCAGAGGCAGCCACGGCCCCTTGGAGTGGCGGGGCTGCTCTGTCCAGTGCCCCTCTCCCCACTCTCCCCTGGTATCACGGGCGGGGTGATGGGGTGCAGTAACACAGCTCAGGATTGGTGAGGGGCACCAGGGCTGGGGACAATGGCTGTTCCCCCTGTGCAGGGGTGCTCCTCGTGCCCCACTGCAGTGAAGCTCCCGGGAGCTGGCAGCTGGCAGCTCCTGCCGTGCCGCACTGTGCCGAGCCGTGCTGCGCCTCAGGTCAGGTTCCCCTCCACTCACAATGACCGCGGTAACATTTACACAGTGGCAAGAGCCCATCAAATATTCATGGGGACATTATTTATTGATGGGAGCTGCTGGCACAGGCACGCCCAAAGGTACTCCTCCTTTGGCCATGTCCGCGCTGCCCTCAAAAATCTATGGGGTTTCTCCTCCTCCGGAGGCTGCTGACTGCTGTCAGGTCTCCCCCCGCGCTGGAGCCGGCGCCGGCACCGGTGCTGGTAGGATTACCAGCTAAGGAGCTTTGCGGCAGAGGGAAGCAGAGGAGATTACAAGATTTCTCATTAGGTTGGGGGCGAATGTGCGTAATTTCCCACAAGCTCTGTTCCCGCATCTTGCTCTGTCCTGAGGGGCAAGGTGGGTGCAGGCAGCCAGCACATGGCCCCGGCTGCAGGACAATGCTGCAGCGTGGTGACTTGTGTCTCTGCTTTGGCAGAAGATGCTGGGCTGGGGTTCACCTTGCTCAACTTTGCTTGCACTGGGCAAAATTTGGGGGATATGCTGTTGGGGCTGTGGCCCCAAGGGGGACGACCAGTCCGACTTCAGCAAAGAGCCGGGCTCTGCTGCGGGAGAGCCTTCAGCCTGCCGCCTGCGCCCTTGCCCAGCCACGGGGTTGGCAGCGTACACGCAGTGCTGCCAGAGGGTTTGGTTTCAGACCTGTGCAAGGGGATGCTGTGCTGCGGTGCGTGGCCGGAGGGAGGCAAGGAAGAACCCCTTCACTGCACGGCCTCAGCCCCCAGTGTGCCCCAAAACGGGGCTGGGCCAGCAGCCGCGCCCGCGGGGGATGCCCAGCAGGGCACAGCGGGGTCCTGCCCGGCCGAGGCTCCTCGGGGGACCTCGGCAACGGCGCTGCCCTTCCTGCCCCCACCTGCCCGCGTGCCGCTCGCTCGCTTCCTGAGCTCATCAAATATTGAGGGCAGGAGGGCTGACGGGAGCTCCGCGCCCGCCGCCCCGCAGCCCCCCGCCGTCACGTTGGCGGCGCGCGGGAGGAGCTCCCGCCTCGCCCGGGGCGCCGGCTAAATTTAGGCAGCTGGCGCTGCTGCCCGGCGGAGCAGCATGCAGGTCTCCTTTGTGTGCTCCGAGCACAGCATCAAGAGCCGGAGCGCGGAGGACCGGCTGAACCGACAGAATGCCGGCAGCCCCAGCCTCGGCACCCGCGGCAAGTTCCGCGCGGTGGCCATGGTGGCCCGCAGCCTGGGGCAGCTCTCGGTGCAGAACGCCCCCTCCTCCAGCGAGTCCAGCGTCAAGCAGCCGGGGATGAAATACCGGTAGGAAGCGGGCACTGCTGGGGCTTTCCCTGTTTCTTGCCGGGATCGGGGCGGCCTGGGGGTATGGGGGCCACACTCCTCTAATTCCCGGCTCGCGACCGGCTCTGTCGGTGTCTCGTCGCTAAAAGTGCTGACCGTGCGCCTCCGTGTGCTTCCCCTCTGTTTGCTCCTGTCCCTTCGGGGCAGCCTTGATTCAGCCGCGCGTGAAACCTTCAGGATGGGGGGGGACAAGGGACCCTAAAATTCAGGATAGGATTAGCAGCATCCCCAGCGCCTGCCGAGCCGGGTGGGTTTGGGAGTCACGGCAGCGTTAATCCGGTGTGCCATGGCATCCTTATGGTGCTGACAGAGGCTCACTACCCTGCAAAGCGAGCATGGAACCGTAAGCTGGGATTCGGGTCTGGCTTCCCACGGTGGGCATAGAAATGAAGGGTGGTGTGTGCACGTGGGGTGCTGGTCCCCCCACCCAGCACCCACGGGGCTCATGCGCTCCACGTCCCTGGCTCTGGGGCAGAGCACTCAGGGCTTCCCCCACCGAGTTTTAGGGTGCACCCCAGCACAGGGCAGGCCCCCCCAAGATGAGCCTGCACGCCACAGTCCAGCTGCCAGCAGCCGCGTGCCCCCTCTGCAGCCCAGATGTGCCGGCATTAGGCACAAAGCACGTCAGAGCGCTGGGGTGAACCCGGCTGTTACCTACCAGCATCATCCAGATCAGCTGGTTCCCCTCACCTGGGCACTGGGGAGGGCGCTGGGATTGCTCCGTCCAGCTCTGGAACACCAAACCTTCCTGCTGGTTGCAGCAGTGCTGGGACCGTGTGCGGTGGCATCCTCGGGGCTTGGCGCTCCTGCCCCGCTTTCACCTCCCCATCCAGAGGAGAAGCACAGCAGGACCACCCTCTCCCAGGCAGTGGGTGATCAGCTTGGGGGTTCCCACTGGTGGCTACTGGATGGACAGTGATGCAGGGGGTTGCTCCAAGTGAGGGGATGGGATAGGAAGGCTGTGGCACAGCGCAGGGGGATGCCTGGCTTTCCCAAGTTCTGCCAGTATCTCCATTGGGCAGCTGGTCAACACACTTTTGAACTGGAAAGCTGGGAGGAGTGACAGCCACTTGCCCAAGAGGACCCTGGGATGCCTCTAGAATGGCCAGGATGGGTCCAATGCTGTCCACTCCCCGTGGAAATCCCCATCACGGGTGCTTGAGCCGTTGCCACCCAAGGGCCATGGCTTCTCCCCACCGTGCAATACTCTAAAAACGCCACAGGGCCGGGGGACCGCCCACACCTCCAGGTGTTGGGCAATAAGACAGCAGCAGGGAAGGACAATGCCCCAACTTGGCACACCACGGTTGGGCCGTGGCTGCTCCCTGCCCGGCTCGCGGTGCCCGTGTCGGCGGTGCCGGCGGTGGCAGCGCCTCGGTTGCTATGCGACACCCGCGCGGGCGAGCTGCCGCGGCTCACCTACACTTTATTTATTTTAACGCTCATTTCTCGAGCCTTTGTCATTTTTAACAAGTAACTGGCTCTCCATCACTGTGGCGAAGGCGTCTGCCAGCCCGGCCCCCTTTCCAAAAGCTGTTCTCCAGTTCCTTGTGCTGGTCAAATTTTCTGGGGTGCTCCATTTCTCCAGGATGTTGCTCCACTCCCAAGCACCCTCACCCTGTGCAAGTCGTGTGCTTCCCTGTGCCGTGATGCAGAGAACAGGCACAGTTCATACCATGTGTGGGATGCTTCAGTCCTGATCCACCAGCTCTCCCTGCTTCCCGTCTCACTCCCCTGTGCCAGCAGCACTCTCAGGGCAGGCAGACACCCCGGCCTTATCACAGGAAACTGCTTTAACGAGGTCACTGCCCGCTGCCCCCCCCCCCCCCAATAACCCTACCAGGCATGGCATCACTGCGCCAGTGCTGGCGGTGCCACCAGTGAGCTATGGATGCCTGGCCTGGGATGGCTCTTTAATTGGTTGCAGGGGGACCCTCACTGTGGGACTGTCCCATGTGGGGATAGGGTGGGGACCGGGGACCACCACCACACCTCCCAGCCCCCATACCCACTGCATTCAGTGGCACACGGGGTCCATGAGACGGCCTTTGGGGGCTTTCTGGCGCCTTTCCTGATGCTCTCTGTCTTCCAGGAACCTCGGGAAGTCTGGGCTGCGCGTGTCCTGCCTGGGCCTGGGTAAGTGCCAGGGTTTGCCACAGCCCCTCGGCATCCCCTCGGTCCTGCAGTGAGTGCTGGTGCTCCCCGGCGAGGGCGGCGCTCGCCTGCCCCAGCGATGTTTGCGCAGGGAAGGAAAGGGTTTCCCTCGGCCCTGCGGCCGTTTTGAGTCACAGCCCAGAAATTGTCGAATTATTTTCTCTCTTTGTGATGCGATAGGAAGCGACTGGGCCGCGCTGGGAGCACCGCGCTGCACGCGGCCCGGCCAGCTGTGGCCACCACGTGCCGGGGCTGTGCTGAGGGGGCCGGGGTGGGTGGCCGGGGGCTCAAGGCGGCGGCGCTCGTTGCTCACCGCATTCACTGTGCACACACCCTCTCTCCCCTGCAGGGACATGGGTGACTTTCGGAGGGCAGATCACAGATGAGGTAAGGTTGTACCCTGTTGTCCCGTCCCTCCCCAGCCTGGGGAAGGGACGGAGCTGGCACAGCCGTGGCTGTGCTCTGGGTGCACGTGGCATGCCGGAGCTCAGCAGCGCTCCGCACACGCGCCTGTGCCCCAGCTCTCGGCCACCCCCTTCGCCGACCCTGCTCTTTCCTCACAGATGGCGGAGCAGCTGATGACTTTAGCTTATGACAACGGCATTAATCTCTTTGACACAGCAGAAGTCTACGCTGCTGGCAAGTAGGTACCCTGCTTTGGCAGTGGCACCCCTCACCCCAGCCCCCTGCACCTCCAAACCACAGCAACACTGGGAATCTCCTGGATTTTCTGGCTGCAAAGTGGCTTCCAGGATGGGGCTGTGAGTGCTTGCTCACGGGGAGGGGTCATGGTTCTGGCAGTCCCATGCTTCCTGTGGTGGCCTGTGCCGTGCAGGCACAGCCATGCACCCTCCCAGCATGGTGAGCTGTGGCTGTGCCCAAGGCACACTGGCCTGGGGCATCACTGTGTGTCCATGCACTCACTTAAAATTAGTGAGCTTGCACATTAGGGGTCAGCTCTGCTCTGGGCACTGCAGCCAAGGGGCAGACAGTGTCCCCATGGCCACTGCCTTTGCCTCTTAGTCTGCCGGGGACTGGAGCTGTCCCTGCCAGCTGTCACTGGTCCCCTTGGCCACAGCAGCTGGGGCACTGGCGGCTGACATCCCCTTCCCTTGCAGGGCCGAAGTGGTGCTGGGGAACATCATCAAGAAAAAAGGGTGGAGGTAAGCTGGACATCATCCCTGTTTGGCAAAGCTGTCACCGCAGACCAGGTGGCCTGGGGAAAGCTGACAGAGCAGCCCTGGGCAGGAATGCATGTGGGCAGGGAGCGGGCAGGGTGTACAGGTGCCGCCACCAGTGACTCTCTCTTTCTCCCTGCAGACGGTCCAGCCTGGTCATCACCACCAAAATCTTCTGGGGAGGAAAGTAGGTAACACCTGCCCTGTGACGGAGCGGCCGGCACGGGCCAGGCTCTCACCCACCTTTCCTTTTCCAGGGCCGAGACAGAGAGGGGCCTGTCCCGAAAACACATCATAGAAGGTAGGGAAAGGTAGGGGTAGGGTTGCTCAGTGGGCGCTGCTGGCCCTGGTGCCAGGCTGTGCCTCGGCAGCTGCCTCCCTGCTGGCAGCACAGGGTCCCTGACCTGACAGCCCTGTCCCTGTGGCAGGTCTGAAGGCGTCGCTGGAGCGGCTGCAGCTGGAGTACGTGGATGTGGTGTTCGCCAACCGGCCCGACCCCAACACGCCGATGGAAGGTGGGTGCGCGCCGCGGTGCCACACTCCATCCTGCCGCCTTTCGTCACCGTCACGGTTGGTTTGCGCCAAGCTTGTGTTTCAAGGGCATTTTCCATGCCATGATCATGCCTCTGCCGCCCCCCGCCCCGCGCCAGGACCCCCTCAGGCCATGGTGGGGTGGGTTGGAGGCACGGTGGCAGGTCGCTGCTCCCATCCCAGCAGCGGTGACTCCACTCTCTCTAAATCTCTCTTTTATCACCAGGGGACCCATTTAGTTCCTCCAAGTCCAGGACTTTCATCGTAGAAGGTACTCCCTGCCCGCACTCTGCCCGCCAGCCGCTGCCTGTCCCAGCGGCGTTTCCTGGGGCAGAGCCCTCACTCCTCTGTTACCCCCCATCCCTGATCCCCCCTCGAGCAAACCCCGCCATGAGATGCAGAGGCAGCGGCAGCAGAACACAAACACCCCCTGGCCCTTCCTTCAGACTGTCCTGCAGTTAAAAGGAAAAAAGCAGAGAGGCTCCTGCCCCTCCAGGGTCCTGCCGTGGGACTCCCTTGGCCCATGCCAGGGTCTGCGGCAGGCTCTCCTTGCCGGGGCGGCTGTGAGCATGCTGGGGTGTGTGCCCCAGTGCCGGCCGGGCAAGCCCCGCACCCCTCGCTCTCCCCGCTGCCCGCCTTTGGCTGCAGGAGCGCGTCTTGGCTTGGTCCCAGCCCGCATGGCTCAGGGCTGGCTCCCCCCAAAACTCCCAAGCCCCTTGCAGGGGGTCCAGGCTTCCCTCCCTGGGTCTCCGTGCATGGGCGATGCATCAGTCCCTTCCCTCGCAGCGGTGCCGGTGCTGGTAACCCCACAGGGTGTGGGGCCACTGCCAGGACCCTCGGGCTGCTCTCCATGCCAGGAGAGCCCCAGCACCGCCAGCATGTCAGGTTGGCTGTCGTCCCCGGCACATCCTGAGTGGCTGCTCCCTCTGTTCCCGTCCTGCTCCTCTGGACACAACCCAGCTCCCGCCACAGCGCTGCGGGAGCGGGATGCTCACCAGCCATCAGCGCGGTGCGAACCCCCTTGTGCTGGTGCAGCCCCTGCTAACCCCTTCCGGCCACTCTCTCCTTCCCTCCCGGCAGAGACGGTGCGAGCCATGACCCACGTCATCAACCAGGGGATGGCCATGTACTGGGGGACCTCGCGCTGGAGCTCCATGGAGATCATGGTAGGGGCCCATGGGATCGGGGCGGCCGCAGCGGAGCAGCCCCAGTGGTGCCGCTGATGCTGATTTAATTAGACAGCAGCTTTCGGGAGCCAAGCGTGTGCAGATGTGCTTGAGCCTTAATCAGTTCCTGGGGCAGCTGCTCAGGGCTCGGCTGGGGGGCTCAGCAGGGGGAGCAGCGTGGCACTGAGGGTCCTGGCTCTTCTGCAGGAGGCATACTCAGTGGCCCGGCAGTTCAACCTGATCCCGCCGATCTGTGAGCAGGCCGAGTACCACATGTTCCAGCGGGAAAAGGTGGAGGTGCAGCTGCCTGAACTCTTCCACAAGATAGGTACGGTGGTGGAGGCCCCTCCCCAGCCCTCAAAGCACAATACTCCGCGTGCCCAGCACTGCAGAGACCAGATGCTGTGGTCCCTGGGGAAGCTGGGGGCAGCAGCAGCATCACCCCCCATTCTGCTCTGTCCCCAGGCGTCGGAGCCATGACCTGGTCCCCACTGGCCTGTGGCATCGTCTCGGGGAAGTACGACGGGGGGATCCCCCCCTACTCCCGTGCCTCGCTGAAGGTGAGCGACGCTGGGACCAGGGATCACACTGGGATGGACAGAGCTGGGGGAGCAGGGCCAGGAGCCTCACAAACCAACCCAGGGAGTTTGGGGATGCCCTGCCTGCACAAGGTGCCAGTGCACCCCAACCCCCCCATGACACTCCTCCCCGTCCCCCCAGGGATACCAGTGGCTGAAGGACAAGATCCTGAGTGAGGAGGGCCGGCGGCAGCAGGCGAAGCTGAAGGAGCTGCAGGCCATTGCCGAGCGCCTGGGCTGCACCTTGCCCCAGCTCGCCATCGGTAAGAGGATGGCGGACAGGGGGTTGCTGGGGGTGACACCGGGGCAGCCAGGCCATGCTCATGCTCTGCTCTCCCTCCTCTCCAGCCTGGTGCCTGCGCAACGAGGGTGTCAGCTCAGTCTTACTGGGGGCCTCCAATGCTGACCAGCTGATGGAGAATATTGGAGCAATACAGGTCAGTGCTCTCAGCGGGAGTGACGTGTGCCCTGAGCACTCCCTGCTGCACCACGCTGGGCGGGGAAAGAGGGTCACGAACACGGCTCCATGACAGGTTTTGCTTGTCACAAAGGCAAGCGGCAGAGACAAGGCTTTGCTGGACTGAGGGGGCAGGGTTGGGCCCGACCCAGCTCTCCCTAACTGGGTCAGCCAGCTGGCAAGCTGGGGCTTGTGCCACAAACAGAGTGGGGTGGAGGCAGTGAGCGCGGCACGGCTGCATCCCACTGCCGGCTGCGTCCTCCCACACACACCGCAGTCACGATCCCAACTCCCAGTGTTGCCCTATCCCGGCAGGTCCTTCCAAAGCTGTCGTCTTCCATCGTCCATGAGATCGATAGCATCCTGGGCAACAAACCCTACAGCAAGAAGGACTACAGATCCTAAGCGCGCCCGAGCGCGCCGCCCGCCGCGCAGCCCTCGCCGCCCGTTCGCTTGCTTACGCTTTGTTGGAGCAAAGTGGAGAGTGTGGTTTGCACCACGAGCGCCGAGAGCCAGCGCTCCTGCCCGCGCTGCCCCGGACACGGCGCCACGGCCGCTCGGCCTGGCTCTGGGGCACAGGGACGGCCGGTGGGGCGTGTGGGAGACGAGCCCCACTGCCCGGCCGCCCTGCCCGCAGTCGGAGCCGCCGCGGGGCCCGTTGCATGCGCGGCTCCCGCCCCCGCGTTGCCGGAGGTGGTGGGCGCGGGGTGCACGCGGGTGCTGTACGCCCACGAGGCTGACAACACGAAGCTGTTCCCCAGCCCTCGCCTCTGCCCTGCGCCGCCGGCACCGCCAGCCCCACACCGGCGTGGTGGGGCTGCGGTTCCCGGGGTGGGGAACAGGATGGGGCGGTGACAGGGAAGGGGTTCCCTGTGAGAGAAGCCCGGGGTGCCCCGGTTGAGTGTGGGGCTGGGCCAGGGGAGTGTGTGTGGGCAAGTGTGTGAGCGTGTGTGTGGACAGACACACAGGAGACACGCAGGGACATACAGACACCTGTACATTTGCACACAGCAGCTGTGGAGGTGACCATGGGCCACAGGCACCTTCAGATGTATCTGCACAAAGCTATTGAAATACAGGGGCCTCTATACACACCCCCACATCCACTCATTACAGGTGTGTGTACACACACACACACACAGATATGTATGTATATATGTATATAGATGTGTATATAGATATGTACACACGTCTCTGAAAATTAGATGTAAAGCGTATACAAACACACACATGTAGACACGTGTGTACTTGTGTATATACAGACATACATAGCTCGATGTATAGATCCATATATGTAATATATAGATGTGTACATATCCATGTAAATATATTGCTGAAGCAGCATCCATGTTTGTATGGATATATGCACACATGAAAATTACAGGTACATACATATATGTGTGTATATGCAGATATATGTGTAGATATATTTATAGCCACACCCAACTCTATAACTACATACTCATCTTTCTATAAACATATGCTGTATATACATGTGGAAACAGATATTTGTGATTTAGATGTAGCTATAGATAACACATATCTAGATATATAGCTATAGCTATATAGAGATATAGCTATATATAGATACATATATGATAGATATAGATATGATATATAGCTATTTGAGATACAGCTATAGCTACATGTATCTATCTCTTTATAGCTCTTTGTGTACTCTGTGCAGAACAAACATTTTTGCCAATACCTATATCTGTTTATCCATATACATATATACAGAGTTGCATCTATCTGTGCACACATAAATATAAAAACTAAATATATGTGCAAACCCTCAGTTCTGTGCACAGTGTGTGTGTTTCTCCACTCCCTGTGTAGCCGTGGCTGCACCTACAAGCCCCCCATAAATTTGTGTGTGTGTGTGTGCAAACACAGAGGGTCTCTCCCAACCCACACAGACCATCAGAGCTCTCCCTCTGTGCATGGTTGGGGTCCATATGCACACCCCTGCCCCATACACACCCCCACACCTTTAGGTACATGGATTTACCTGCAGCTGTACCCACACACCTTTATTTATACATCTGTCTACAGAACTACATTGATGGTTGTGTGCAAACAGAAACACACACACTCATATATTTGTATGAAGTCACAAATACAGATGTGTATCTCTGTATATACAAACGTGTACTTCTGTATGCACACATGTATACTATCTGTGTCTAGTATAATCTATACACCCTTAGCTGTATCTATATCTACGCCTATGTATAAATATATAAAAATTACAAATACATGTGGGTGTCTGTGTATATATACACAGCTATATATCCATACAGAGATACAGACATGGAGATACAGAGATATGTAGAGATATATCTACATATGCATGTGTGTATATATACACATATAAATTACAAACACACATGTAAGTACATATACACAGATACATGTATGTGTATATACACCTCTGTAAATACAGATCTATACATCCCTACCTATGTATAGATCTATGCCTATGTATGTATGTTATCTACCCATACCTACGCCTACATATACACACAACCAATTATTTAGTTATATATGTATACAAACACACGTGTATTAAAACTACAAATGCATTATTTATGCATGTATAATATACATGTATATTATATATAAACATATCTATATTATATATACACACACCCACATAGACATAGCTGCACCTAAATAAATCATTATATCTGTGTATGCTCACGTAAAGATATATATGCACACATATATCTACAAACTTACAGTCCCATGTATATGTACACGTGTGTGTACACAGATCTACACATGCTATAGATGAAGATATACAGTCATATAGGTGTGGGGGGGATGCAGATATTTATATACCTAAGTGTATGTGCACTCACATAAAGATTACAGTATTTGTGTAGATATACACACACCCCTCCTCATGTATGTCCATCTGTGTCCATGTGTGTCCGTGTGCACAGGGTGTGTGGGAGAAGCTGGGGCTGGGGACGGGGCAGCCTCTGCCACTGACAGACCCTGTGGCTGTGTGTGCACGTGTGTGGGTGTGGGTGAGTACACATGTATGGGCACATGTGTGTGTACATGTGTGTGGGTGTGCACATGTGTGTGTTTTGTGTATGTGTACATGGGGGTGTGTACACGTGTGTGCAGGATGACACAGGTACTGCCACTGCAGCCAGACTCCCCCCCCGAGGCCACCCCCCAGGGCTGCCCCAGTCACCCCCCTGCCAGACTCCACTGCATCCTTCCCAAAGGGTTTATTAAAACACAGAGAACAGAAACCGGGACACACGGAGCACAAAGCAGATGCAGGGGCTTACAGCTGTTGCTGACAGCTGCCGGTGTCACCACAGTCGAGGTGTCCCCGTCCCAGCTCCGGCCATCCCCTCCATCCCACCCGTCTGCCCCACGCCCAGCACACACGGACCCCCAGCCACACCACAGTGGTGCCAGGGCTCCCACCAGGGCAGCAGGAGGTGTGGGCTCTCTCAAATGCAGCGAGGATGCAGAAATGGCCCTTGCAGGTCCCACATGTGCCAACACAACCAGACAAACACCGCGACTCCACCCCTCCCTCCCCTCAGCCCACCTCGCCCAGACAAACTTTTCAAGTCTTCAAGAAGAAAGTGCAAAAAATGTACACGGACACGAACCCCTGGCCCTGCCGCTCCCGCAGAGGCCGCAGTGGGTGAAGCACACTTGAAGCAGGAGCAGGACAGCCCAGCAGCACCGGTGGCAGCTCATCTTCCACGCAGGCAATGCCGGCACGATTCCCCCACTGTCCTCTGGCAACAGTGGCTCACGGCCGGGGGCTGAGGCCTGTCCCCCGGGGCTGCTGCGAGGAGAAGGGAGGGTTGCCCGTCAGCCAGGTCTGGACCCTCCCTGCCTGCCACCTCAGGCACCTGGCAAGGTCACCGGGAAGGATCTACCCCACCTCCACTGCAGCTGCTCCAGCCAGAGGGGGTAGCCAGACACCGGCAGTGGGGGGTAGCCCAAAATGGAACCCCCATACAGCCCCCAGCCCCACTGTGTTCCCCAGCAAACAGAGCACGGAGAGCCATGAGTGCAGCCTTACCTCAGCTAGGACTGGGAGCTGCAGGGGAAAATCATGGGAACGGCTAAATATCTGTGGCAAGAGAGGAGACACTGTGCTCACTGCTGTCCTTTGGTGATACTTCTGGACCGCCCAAATCCACCCCCTGAATTCCTCTGCTCAAGAGCAAAACCCCAACCTACCAGTCACGTAGGGTCCCAGAGGCATCTGGCTGTAGTTGACAATTCCACCTGGCCCGGGACCACGGAAATTTGGCCCAAAGTTATTGTTGTACATCTGGGAGGAGCCAAAGGAGCCCTGGGGAGGCAAGGAGGGAGAAAAAACATGGGCCTGCAGCCCTGGCCTTTACTGTGACCCCCACAGTGCAGGGCTCTGTGCCTGTCCCCGCTGACCTGGACAGTCGGGTCCCCTCCGCGGGTGGCCAGGCGGCTGAGGATGCTCCGCTCCGACATCTGCAGCCGGGCAGCCACGGGCGGGATGCGGGACAGCATGGAGGGCAGGCGTGTCACATCAGCCTTCATGTCACTCAGCAGCTCCTCGAGCTGGTTCAGCACTGCGAGCAGAGCAGGTGGTGCTCAGGGGGGGATGCCCATTGGACCCAGTGAGTTGGGAGGAGCAGGCAGCTCCTGGCCAAGGGAATGTGACATGGGGACAACCTCCTGGCTGGGTTCCCAGGGTCAGGGTGGGGAACCTTCCTAGCCCTGGGGCAGGCTCCCCCCACCCTGTGGACACGCACCCTTATGCAGGACGGCGTTGGCAGGTTTGTTGCCAGCCAGGGACTCTTTGGAGAGGTGCTGGTGGCTCTCGGCAAGGCACTCCACTTCTGCCAGCCGTGCATTCAGTGCCATGGCCGGGTGACTGGGGTCTTGGGTCATGTTGAGGTACGCTGCCCTCCGCAGCTGCTCCTCGATCACCAGGGCCTGCTCCAGCAACTGGGAGGTGCAGGAGGGGAAGGATTCATGTATATACATATACATATATATATATACATATATATATATACACTCCAGTGTAAACCAGTAAAGCACAGAGTCCCTCACAAAGCCCACTCCCAGCTCTGCTCCCAGAAGGCTCTGGTAAACTCTCCCCTGGCTTCAGGGCACTGCTGTGATTCCCCCACTGGCAGGGAATCACCAGCCCTGGACCTGCCACTCACCTTGAACCGCCGGGCAAGGAACTTGTTCTTCATCTCTAGGTAGTTCCCCTTGTGTATCTCCGACTTGAACGGTTCGTTCAGGATCACATAGCGTGGGTCGTTCTGGATGTCCTGCCAGCGGGCATAGCCGTGACTGGGGCAGTGGTAGTGTCAAGGGCAGAATCAGCCAGCCAACAGCCTGCCCACCACCCCAGAGTGGCCCCAAATCCCCTCCCTACTTGTCACCACCAGTCCAGCTCCTGCCCCCTCCAGAGGCCTCTCTTGCCTCGCTGCCTCCCGCTCCCACCGAGTCAAAGGGTACGTGACAATTCCTGCCAACAGCCAGTAGTCGTGTCTGCGGTGCCAGATGTCGTAGATCTTGCCGGAGGACATGGCAGCCCGCTCCTCGTTCTGCCACAGCGTGTGCAGCTCTGTGGAAGCAGAAGGGAGACAGCCTGGTCAGGCAGCCGGGTTGCAGGTCAGTGCACAGCGCGTGGGCAGGCGAGCAATGGAAGCTCCTGGGGCCATGGGCACAGCACAGACCCAGGTCTGCTGCTGCCAGCAAAGCACTGGCCCGTTCACAGCCTGTGACAGGGGTCACATTTCTTGCACAGGTTCAGAGCTCTGCAGCAGCTCTGCAGGAGAGGCCAAGTCCTCATCTCTCACTCTTACCTGTGAAGCCACCATCAGCAATGTTGAACATGAATCGGAAGTTCATGTTTCTGTCATCCTTCTTCCCATCCTCCTCTTCCTCTTTGTCACCGTTTTGCTGGGCCTCACTTTGTTCCTTGTCCTCCTCCTTGCCATCTGCTCAGTAAACACAAGGAATTGGCCTGCCTAATCGTGCTCCACCACCAGACTCCCTGGTACCATCCCTGCCCCTGAGAGAACTCCCTGTTACAGTCACTGCTGGAAAAGCCTCCATCCCCTCTTTGCCCCACAGCTGCCCCTGTCCCTCCTGGCAGGTTCCACTGTTTGCACAGACAGTGCCCACCCCAGTGGGGTCTTGTTCCAGCTTCTGGTTCCCGAGCAGCAGCTGTACTGGTGTCAGCAGCGTCCTCACCATCACCCCGCAGGCGCACTCCGTCACTGCGCCAGGCACCAGCCTCACTCCAGGGACTCTTCCCACTCTTCTCACTCCAAAGCCTCCTCACACCTCACCTGGTTTGACTTCTTTGTCCTCCCCCTTCCCTGGGCTGCTGCTCAACTCCACCTTCTCCAAGGGCTTCTCTTGCTCTTGAATCCCCTCGTCTGCAGGTGGGAACAGGCCTAAAAGAAACACTCTGCAGGGAACAACCTGTTTGTCTGGACACACTTTCCCTTTCAGGGTAAAGTAACTATTGTTTGTACATTCAAGGTCCTCAAAAAACTTCAAACAGAACATTCTTCTGCATTTTTTCAAGAAAACATATTTTCTTTTCCCTCTTCCTTGAGAAATCTGCAAGAACTTACTGCTAGGAACACAAAATGCCCCCCCAAATGAACATTTCTCACAATTTACAACCTGTTGTTTCAGGAATTTCTGCAGGATCTTGTGACGTTCAGGTTTCCCACAGTGACATGGAGAAGAGCCACAGCCTCACCTTTCATTGGGGACTCAGGAGAAGGCTCAGCCTTTTCACTCTCCTCTTGCTTCTCTTCCCTCAGCCTCTCCTTGCTGTCACAGCTTTCTGGGTGCTCTTCATTCTCCATCTTCTCAGCACTCGCAGGCATCTTAACAACAAACACCCACCTCAGATCAGCCCAGCCCTCCCTTCCCCAGGGAGTGCCCCAAGTTCCTGGGAAGACCAAGGGAGGCTTCCCAGAGGAGATGCTGAATGCAGTCACCCCACCTGGCTGTCGGCCACCTTCCTGGGCTTCTGCTCCACTGGGTCCTTTTCCTCATGGAACCCCAGCTGTGCTTCTGTTTTGTCTGTAGGAAGAGAAAAGCCAAGAAGCTGTTGAGCAGGGCCTCCATGGGCTCAGCACCTGCAAGAAATCCTGGTGTCTTTGCCCACCTCCCTCCCAAGCCAGACCCCAGCCGGGACCCCCTGGCTACCTGGTCCTGTGTGTGTGTGTGCTGGGCTGGCTGGGACGGGTGT